GACGCAGTCTTCAAAAATTGGTCCAGTTGCAGCGGATAAAAAGGTTCAAAAACCAGAAAAATAAAATTTGCTGAAACCTCATTTTTTGAGGTTTCAGAGGATCCTGATAATTTTTTAAAAACATCTCATTGTAAAAATTTTGGAGATGGGGGTGGAGGATGGTATATGACATGTACATAACCAAAAACCATGTCACTCATTTCAGTCGGCATGTCGGTCTGTCTTTTTTATACAAGGTACTTACTAAGGACGTATATATACATATACAGCTATAAAACAGGCCTTTAGGCCCTAAGTTTAATAAGTTTATTCCACCACTTCTGGTCCAATGCCCATTTCTCCCAGTCTCTGACATTCCTGCTCCTCAAATCTTCCATTACTGTATCCTTCCATCTTCTTCTTGGTCTTCCTCTTTTATTCCTGGTATCCGGAACTCTCCATGCTATACAGGGTGACTTTGAAGTTGAGTCATTAATTTTCAGATAATGATTGTAGAAGGAAGATAAACCAAAATATGTGTTTAAAAATAAAAGAAAAATTAAAAAAAAATGTTACCTTGTTTTATAAAGTATCCTCCCGACAAGTATTTCAGTGCGGACCTGTATTTGATCGTGCGATCTTGGAGCACCGGCATGCCCTCCCCTGTTAGGTCTTAAGTCACCTGATTCACGAGCCCTTTGTACATTAACAAAGGCACGAGGGGTTGGTTGCACTCGATTGGGAAACTAATCCGCATAAATCCGTCATGCCGCGGCAGCATTTTGTAAAGACTCCCCCCCCCCCCCTAAATAAGAATCATGTCCACAAGTTCAGCATTTTCGTAAACATGTGCCATTTTTTATTTCGTTTGAGCCACGCGTTACCGACTGACACATTGACTGAATACAACTGAATAAAATTGTAGTAAAAACATCGTGATAAGCGTTTCAAATTCTTTCGCTTTTTTGTTTCCGATGCGATGAACCGATAAGGCGGATTATATCCGTTGTTGCCAAACACGAGCACATAATATTATTATTGAGACAGGGCGGTACTCAAACTTCTAAAGGGCTATAACTTTGTTACTTTAATTTTACCACAAAAATGTTAAAGGAAAAAAACATTTCTTTTGATCAGATCTACTCACTGTTAAAATAAAGGACTCAACTTCGAAGTCACCCTGTATATGCTTCACTGTTCTTTCTTGCGGCATTCTCAGTGCTCCAGCCACTGCAATCTTCTTCTAAGGGCCTAGTCTTTGAAAACCGGTCTACTTGCAGCTGAGAAAAAGGAAAAAACCAGAAAAATAAATTTTTCTCAAAACTCGTTCTTTGACGTTTCAGAGGACCCTGATGATTTTTGACAACATCTTAGGGTTAAACAATTTGGAGATGATGGGTGGGGGATTGTAGATCTCATTTTTTTTGTGTCAGTATATTGATACACTCCCGACCTCGCTAATTCTATGCGTCTATTAGACATATTTCGCACATCCTGAATTTCTCCGAACATTAGCACTATAACGATGACGAAATGGTTTCGATATGCCTCTGCTTCTGCTCCCGGCGGCGTCTCGGTCTCGGTAAGTGTTCTGGTATTACTGCTGCAGTGCTACGTCTGACTGGCACGGCTAGTATGTAGAAAATCTAAGTAAAAGAAAAACGATACAAAATGTCGCCTTGCAGCCTAGGTAGTTTTTATTGTGCGAATATTTTATTCCATGTTCGATTGCTATGGTCGCTGTTCGCTGTCGTTCAAGCAACACGTACAGCTACAAAACGGGCTCACAACAAGTGTACAACAGCTTGTGCTAAGTCAGTATCTTGTAGAAAAACCTACGAAATGTCCAAGAGAACCTACAAAAGTTCAAAAAAAAACAACGAAATGTCCCTTTTCAAGATACTTAATACCCGTACAGGTCTGACCGGGGAGCAGCGACGTTGCCAGATGCACTACCGACAGAGCAGGGAAGACGTGTGTATAGACTAATTGTATGGACCTGTTTGGCTTAATGCGTTTAATTTCTCCCTTTTACATTTTCGTAACTAACTTTTTTCTCTGAAGGTCTACCGTTATATTATAGTCCTCCATCAACTGATGACTGCGTGCAGTGCAGAATCAACCTACTTGACATCATTTTTTGTATTTTTTTTCTGGTTTGCCTTGAAGATGTTTTGTTGCTTCGAGTTTTCGAAGAAATAGATATATTTGAAAAAATATTCCGGGTATACTTAAAATAAAAAATAGTACTAGAACCAACCACGAATCATTTCTTTCCCACATTTTTCCACATACTGTCCTGTGCATCCCAATTATAAAAAAAAAATATTGCAATGCTCCTTTCATTCGATTATGCCAAGCGTAATCTATATTTACTTAACTATTTATTTATATTGAGTTGTTTACGCTGTTCATCAGATAAGGCAGTAACGTTACGTGATACCTCCTCAAAATGGTGAAATCCCTTCCCTGACCTGTATAAAATGGCGAACACTACCTGACAGATTCATAATTCGCACTTCAACCACTTACTTCTCGTTGAACAATAACTGCCAACAACCTCCTCCAAGATGATGAAACTACTGGTATTCGTCTTGCTGCTCGTAGCCCTCCTTGTTTCCTTGGTCGCCGCTGGTAAGTTCACATTTTTTCTTGTTTTGATTACAGGCAATTCTTAGATAATATATTTCTAAGCTGTCGTTTGGCTCTATTTTAATAACTTTATGGTTAACGTTGAACGACATTTTTCAATTCCATAATTTTTATAGCCTCTGCACATTTATGAAAATCGCCTAAACATATCTAAATGCAACACACGAAAGGAAGCAGGGGTTTGTGATATAACATTTAGAAGTACTTTACAGTCCATGCGATATTTATCAATTTTAGGTTCTTTGAAGAAAACGTCTCAATAGAACATTTTCATTTATCTCTTTAATATACTTAATATCAAATTAAAGTCCATAATGTCCAAAGTGATCATTTTAAGTAGTAGTATTTAGTCTTTTTCTACCAACTGGTATCTTTCAGCAGCAAAGTTGTAATGTAATATTTAGCGCCAAAATTTTATGAAATTTTGCCTAAAAATTTAAAAGATTTGCATTTCGGAAATTATTTCATAAGGAATTTGAAATAGTGGCTACATCTTATATCTACGGTAGAACTGTAACTAATTTTTGGCCTTTTTTGTATTCTGTATTCTACAGTTGCAACTAAAAATTCTTGGTCCATGCACAGGCAATGCCTCCTATTAGCCCATTTTTATTCTGTATTTATTTACTCATGTTGTTCTCGTTGTACATTGATTGAATAAATACACACATCATCAAAAGTGTCGGATCCCCTGGGAAACTATAGCCTTCCTCTAATTTCAATCTTTGATATATTTTAAATTGGGGATATTTTTACTATATTTATTTAACAAAACGTTGAATTAATTTCATTAATATGAAAAGAAAAAGAAAGTTGAACAAGTAAGGTACCCAAAATTTTATTTTTAAAAATCAAAATTATCTCATCTTAGCAGTGCGTTAACACGCCTTGACATTCCTATTATTCGGTGGTTAATGTTTTCTTGGGGTAAATTATTCCACTCTTCATTTACTGCTGCATCCTGCTCATTTAGAGTTGTAGGTGGATCTATTCTATTCCGTACGCCTCGAGCTATAATGTCGCAAATGTTTTCAATAGGGTTCATGACTGAGTTGTTCGCAGGCCACAGCAATCTCACTATTTGGCCCCTTTCTAGAGCCCGCTGGACCCTTCACGCTCTATGTGGCCTTGCATTATCATCCCTAAAAATGAAGTTGTTACCGAATTCATTTCGCGAAGGTTGAATAATGGGTTGTATGACATTTTCTTCATAAATTTCTGCAGTCATTGTCCCCGGAATCTGAATTAAAGGACTCCGGTGGTTAAACATTATGCCTCCCCAAAACATTATTGATCCGCCCTGATATGGGACAACTTCTCGGGCCAAATTTAGTCGCTGATGATGTCCTGGTTCTCTCCAAACCCTTATTCTACGGTCATCACTCACCAGTCCAAACCTAACCTCATCTGTAAATACAACATTTCGCCACTGTGGTAAAAGCCACTCCTGATGTTCTCTCTCTCTCTAGAGATTTTCAAATATTGAAAAAAAAAACTCGAAAACCGTCAACTTCATAGGAACATTACTATGGGCCTTTTTTATTCAGAATGATCCAAAATACCTTATGTTGCTACCCGATGACCTCTTGATTCATCTTATGGTATATCCAACAAACACGACTATGGAACAAAATCGAATTTGAAAATACCTCCCACGAACGCGAGGTTTTTCTTCGTCAAACGCATTACTTTAAAAATGATCACCGGATTGCATCGTTTTGATTGAGGGAGTTTACGATCAGTAACTTGGAATAATCTAGAAATGACGAAGATTTTCCTAATATAACTTCCAGTTTGTGTTAATAATAATAATTTATTCCATTGTTAAATAGAACAGAAAATTCTATAATAAATGAAAAAGTCATCAAAAAGAAACTAAACTACAAATGTAAACTCCTCAATGGTGCAGAAAGATTTGTCTAGCAAAAATGTGTTAGTTTTCTTTTAAAAACAAGTAGATTTTTTTCATTCCTAATGTCATTGAGCTTGAAAATCTTACATCCCGTATACCTATATTTTTTTTTTATTTTTGAAAACAAACACAGCCAACTTAAAAACGTAAATACTCATAACAGTCAACATCTTTACTCTTCTAAAGGATCATCTGCAGGATTGGCGCCGACCAAGGTTATCAATAATTCTAATGGAATATTTTTGCAACAGAAGAACTCTTTCAGTTAGTGATCTACTTCCGCAATTAAGAATACCATAACTGATAAGGCAGTTGACGGTGGCATAGTATAAAGTAATTAAAATTCGTTTACTGTATTGCCAGATCTTAAGATCACCTGAGATAATCTGGAAATAATGAAGAACTTCGTAATGTAATAATTTTCAGTTTGTTGTAGTTTTTATTACCAGGCTCTTGTATGGTACTTTCTCAATATTTAGTGTGCACGCAGATAGATGTTTTTTCGCCTCGAGCTGAGCTTTTTCAAATTACTCTTCTCTGAAATCCCATCAACACTCACAGACCCTTAAAAAGTCAATTAATACTTTACCTCAGTTTTTCAAAACAGTGATAAGGCGTGCTTTGAGAAAATACTTTACTACAGAACAAATAACTTTTTGCAAATAAATTCATTTTTTTTTAAGATAGTTGATTTATATGTGATTAAAACTGTTATCTGCAGTATAAAATCTAATGCTTCTGGAACGGATGGTATCACGTTACAAATGTTAAAGTTATGCTTTCCAGTAATTGGCATTTATCTGCTATATGTTATTAATATTTGCTTGGAAACTGGATACTTTCCCGACTTTTGGAAGACAGCTCTGGTGACTCCTCTGCCGAAATCGTCTAATCCGATATCCATCGCTGACCTCAGACCAATAAGCATATTGCCATTGATGTCTAAAATTTTAGAACGAGTAACTTATACACAGATTCTAGACCATCTCAATGCACATAATATAATCTCCACCCATCAATCAGGCTTCCAGAAAGACCGCAGTACAGCGACAGCCTTGTCTTATCTCATTCATAGCATCGTATCTTCCATCGACAGTAAAAACATGAGCTTGCTGGTACTGTTAGACTTTTCCAAGGCCTTCGATATGCTTAACCATCGACTACTTTTTGCCAAGTGCCACTACTATGGCTTCGATGAAGTTACCTGCAACTTTATTAGGTCATATTTAAGGAAACGGAGGGAAAAAGTAAATATCAGTAACCAAATTTCGACATCAAAGTACATTCAGTCAGGTGTTCCACAAGGCTCAGTACTGGGACCATTGATGTTTTTACTTTACACAGCAGATTTACATAATAACTTCAAGAATACACATGCTCAATTTTTTGCTGATGATACGCAAGTGTGATTTTAATGCCGATAATGTCCAGGAGTACATGATGCTAGTAAATGCGGATCTTGATAGTGTTAATAGGTACTGCAGCTCTCACAATTTGAGACTAAATCCCTCAAAATGATCTGCCATATTATTTGGCAATAAAATATTATGTGAAAACCTTACACTATTAATTCACATCAAAGTTAATCGGGAGGAAATTATTTTTTCTGAAATAGTAAAAAATTTGGGCATTTACTTTGACTCGGACTTACGTTTTAACTCACATCTGAATAATGTCTTGAAAAATTGTTATCTATCCTATTTGCAAACAAACATATTCTGCATAGAAACATCAAAATTAAATTGTGTAAAATTTTAGTTATTTCTAAAATGTTATATGGCTTATCCATATATTACCCATGTCTGACGTCTATTAAAGCAAAACGTTTGCAGATAATGCAGAATACCTGTGTACGGTTTAAAGAAGGCCTAAGAACATTCGATCATGTATCACACTTGTATCGTATTATTGCATGGTTATGCGTTCAAAACCTTTTCAAATACTCCATTCTCAGCTTTACTCACATGATCATACTAACATCATCCTCCAATACCTCAGCTGTAAACTTGTTCCAGGGGCGTCTGTGCATAATCTTCAGGTTCGTAACCGTGACAACTTAACTATGCCAATACATCGCACAACACTTTTTAGACGATCTTTCACATACAACGCAATTTTATATTACAATAGCTTAGCCCAGGATCTGAAGACTATCCAGTCTTCCCGGAGTTTTAAAACTCAGTTAAAAAGATATTTACACGAATTGCAAAACAACCGCTAGCTTAAGAAGTTCTTTCACTTTCATACTTTTTTTTATTTTTGATTAGTTATTTTTCGGTTTATTCATAAACTATTATCTCTTCTTCTTTATATAGCTAAATTGGCATAGATCGTCCTATTATCCTGTGACTTAATCTTTGTAGTTTCACATTTTTTTTTGTCTTTGTATAACTTGTTTTTTTCACTTTTGTACGGGCTTAGATGGTGCAATAGCAGGTGCCCATGTAAGTACCATGTTTTGGTCAATAAAGACGATTGTTATTATATTTGAGGTTGCCAAGTGCTAAAATCGAAGTTCGAACATCTCTCATCAAGACCCATAAAAGGATTTCAGGATAAATTTGTTTTTAACCATGTTTGAAACGCTAACCGTAGGCGAACTATTGATTTTCGCGTACTGTACTATATACTTACATGTAGGTATACTGATGAACTTTTAAGCAACTCATATATCTATATTATTTTCAGAATGTGAAATCACCGAGTGCAATAGGTTCTGCCACAAAATAGGGCGCACTGTAGGGCTCTGCATCTTTGGACAATGTGTATGTCAGTGACAGTTCGACAAGATTGGATTTACTAAATGTCTACATCGTTTTTATTCTTATATTTAAAAAGTAGTACTATGTCAATAAAGAACTAAATATATAACAATTAATAAGCTGGTTTTATTGCATTTTTGGAAAGTAGTATCCGTTTACTCATTAGTAGTTATTTGCTTTGTGTTACGGAATTCAGCAAGACTTGCAGATACAAAAATTGATTGTAACTTGCAGCCTTGCTTGCAGACTTGCAACACTTGATTTTCCCTTCTTCTAGCATTCTGAATTAACAAATAGGTAAAGTTATAGACAGTACCAGCCAAGTCCAGATTATCAGTCAGCTACAATTAAAAGCGTAAAGAAAAAATTAACAAACTTTTATTCAATGGTTATTATTGTTTTTACATGGTGAATGTATCTTGTAAGCATTATGTGTGTCTCCTTCAAACTACTCTTCTAAGCCCCTGCTCTGGAAAGGTAGATATTCAACATATAACATTAAACCGAGAGAAAAGAACCAGCAACAGGTAAGTTTAAAGAAATTCAAAGCCAGGCTGCAGTAACTGGGTAATATGCATTTTAAATTGTGCTTACAAGAAAAATCCTAGGACACCTCAAGTGTTCAAACCCACCAAGTCGTTTAAGCTATACCCAGTGACACTGAAATTTCGGAATTAAGGTTTAAATCAGCCATTTTGATTTTATGAAATTTTCGTATACCCATTTTCACTCGCCTTGCCTAGGGTGTGTGTGTTATACACGATGTCCTGGAACACGTGCCTTAGAAACATAACCTACTCCAAGCAGTTAGTTCTAACTTTTTAAGAGCCACATCGTCAGTCGTTCCTACAATTGTAGGACGCCTGTATGGCCTGCTTGATTTTGATAGCCTTTTATCTCCTTAAGAAAGGGTAGATTTCTACTGGTCCGTGTAAACGTCAGCGGTTTCTTATGCTGATGCTAAGTTTTCTTTTTGAATTAGGATATTTCAGACTAACAGACAATATAAATCAAAAGCATGAACAATTTGTGGCAAAAAGATATTTGTAACATAACCTCAAAATAGAGCGCTTGCACGGAACAGTAGAAAACTATGAAAATCAAGGAGGCCAAAAAGACGTCGCGTCCTACAAATAATTGTAGGAGCGACTGACGAGACGGCCCTAAGTTACGAAACACGGGTACGAAATGGTTAATGCCGATCGGGATCCTAGAAGCGACAGTGCCGGTGTCTTCGGCACCTGTCGCCGTTTCCCGTCATGTATTTTTCCGCTGGACAGACAATAATAGCACCTAGAAGTTTGTATAGTGTAATCCATTTGCCTTTAGATAATATTTGTTTTGACCTCAATAGGCTATATTTTTTATTTCGTGCGAAACATTAATCATTGAAATGTGATGCAATGCTGTTGAATGAAAAATCCAAGATAAGATAGGTTTACTGTCGAGTACCTGCATTTATTTCAAAATGAATCATATGTGGGAATTCAGTATTATAAATTAGAAAGTGTGGAAGCTTATTGGTACAGAGATATATTATAGTCATATGCTACTTTTTGTCCCGGGAAATAACTTTGAAATACCTGAATCTATTTCACGTGCCTTAATGGAATTTGGCATGAAGTATTTGACGCGGAAGCGCGCTGAGTCGCTGGTTCGACGGAAATGAGTAAAGGGTCCCCCAAACCAACGCGATTAATCCGCTGCGATATTCGTGGCGATATAATTCTCGCGAAATTCGCTGCGAACATCTGAGGGACTTTCATATCGAAGCGAAAATATCGCAGTGGATTGGCAGTAAACGGTGTGAGTGTAGCTTGAAAATCAAATTAAAACATGTACTCTTCAGATGAAGAAGAAGCAATTCTATATCTTGCTTTGGCGGAGTAAGCAATGTGACGAACAGTATATTCACCTTCTAGACGAAGATCCAGATCTATCACAAGCCTTTACCAACATCGAAAATAATCCAAGACGTGCAACGAATCTGGCATTTTCTACACGAGAAAAATTTGTTGACTACTTCAACTCCTGATATTGTTGATGTAAGATCGGCTTAGCTAAGCCATTCATAAATAATAAACGTATTATAATAATTTCTCAGTAAAGAGTAACTTACCGGTGTCATTCAATTTCACTCTTATCTCATCCCAGATTTTGTCTTTTTTTCGAACATTTTTGTAGTCCTCGTTGTTCAAGTCATAGAGAATTGAAAATTGTTTAATTATTTCCAGAAGTTTTTCAGTGTTTGCCATTGCGACAGCGATAAAAATCGTGCAAGCAGCGAATTAAAATTTAGACGCTGCACTGTCGCAGCGCTGTAAGCGAAATTGAAGCACAGGTCTGTTCTTGTTCATTTGCTTCTACGAGAAGAGTCCCTGGGCGACAATGTCGTCGCGAATTAATCTCAGTCGCTGCGAAATATTCGCGTCGGTTTGGGGGATCCTTAAGGGTATACAGATGAGCGATTAGCATCGTGAATTTTCTGCATTTCGACATTATCTTTCTAAGCGTAATCGTCTTGATCTCTTGATTTAGATTTGTTTGATGTTTTGTTTTACTTTAAGTATATATATACAGGGTGTTCCATAATTATTGCGACAAAATGATAGGAGTAGAGGGCATAAAAATATGCAATTTTGCCTTATAAACCCCTGTTCGTAAATATGCCGTTTGAGCACTACCGCTAATTTTACCTTAAGAGCTCATAGGAGAAACAAAAAATTCACCAGCTGCAAAATGTTCGTCTAGCAAATTTCATGGTCTCGCCGGTTTGTAAAAAAAGCCCGCTGTGTTTACATTTTTGTTATCGTAAATTCTCCACACCGATTCATTTAATTTATCTGAGTGGTGCGTCAAACTAGATAGTAAATAACAGTACCTTAGTGTTAAAATGCAGGGTTATTCGTATGTGGAACTTGCGGATATGCATTTAATTTACGGAAAAGCTAGTGGTAACGGAAGACGAGCCTCGCGAATCTACGCCCAACGGTTTCCAGAACGTCCTCATCCGCATCACGCCATTTTTGCAAGGATTCATGGACGTCTTCGTGTCAGTGGCAGCATCAGACATCTCGCGGGAGCAGGGCGGCCCTTCACGAGGCGCACAGTAGAATTTGAGGAAGCGATTCTGCATCATGTAGAGGCCAATCCGCGTACAAGCGTGCGTGCTATTGCACATGATCTGTGAGCGTCTCAAGTTTAAGCCATGGGTCCAGAAGTCTATCTGCCGCGTCGACGTTTTTGTCGTTGGTGGCTGCAGCAGGAGTTGAGGCAACTAAACTTTGGTCGCTACGTTTTGTTCACTGACGAGTCCTGTTTTACAAAGGACGGTTATTTTAATAGCCGTAACAGTCACATTTGGGATGAAGAAAACCCTCATGCCATAGCCATCCATAGAGACCAACATCAGTTTTCAATTAACATCTGGTGCGGCATTGTGCGAGCATATCATCGGGCCATATTTGCTTCCACCACGTTTGGATGGGCATGCTTATGGTCGATTCTTACAGCATGTGCTACCGGAACTATCAGAAAATGTGCCACTGAACATAAGAGCCAACATGTGGTCTCAACACGATGGCGCTCCAGCCCACTTTTCTTTACAAGTGCGGCAGTATTTGGACGACAAATTTCCAAATAGGTGGTTAGGCCGAGGTGGCCCTGTGCCTTGGCCTGCGTGGTCACCCGACCTGACACCACTGGATTATTTTCTCTGGGGATATCTGAAAGCTTTTGTATACGAAACTCCTGTTCCCAACCAACAGGAGCTACTGGGAAGAGTGCACATGTTCAGGACATACCGGGGGTATGCCACAGAGTTCGCCGATCATTGAACAATCGTGCACAGCTGTGTATTGAGCAAGATGGAGGACACTTTGAGCAATTACTGCAGGTAAGCTGTTTCAAGAAACTGATCTTTTTGCTGCAGCCCAAACGGCATATTTCCGAACAGGGGTTTATAAGGCAAAATTGTTCATTTTGATGCCCTCTACAACCCCTATCATTTTGTCGCAATAATTATGGAACACCCTGTGTATATCCTTGAAATTTCTTTGGGTAGGAGGCAAAGTATGGCAAAAAAACACTCGAATAAGTTGAACTCGAGCTTTCGACGATCTATGTCTTCATCGTCTGGAGTAAGTCGACGAGATTGTTGCTGAAATTGTTTTTAAACAACAGCGAATAAAAACTGGGCTGATGAGGTTGGCAAATCATTTTGAAAGGTTTTTTAATTAAACGTTGATTGATTTTGGAAGAAATTTGGAAATTTTAGAACTATCAACTATTGTAAATTCCTTCGAGATTTCAAAAAGATTCTTACGTTACGATTACGCTAGTGCATGTATGAAAATCCTAATAACTGAGTACATAAGAGTCACAGAACGATACATTTGGAGTCATTTGAACGATAGCATGTTGTTCTAGCGATTATTGAAAAACTTGTATTGATACTAATCGTCAAACATACCTAAAAACAGACAAAACTGGAAAAAAATATGCAAGAAAATTGATTATCTTGTGCATTTCCGGACTCCATTCAAAAACTAGTTTGTGAAGTTGTACTTTTTTGTGCTAATTCTACACCTAAGTTATCTACAAAGTTACACCAAATTTGTTATCCTACGTCTTCTACGTTAAGTAATAAATGCTATCTAACATGGGTCAAGGTATAGGTACATAAAAATGACAAATCAAAGTTTCTTATAAATGTTTAATGTTATAGAAGCTGTTCAAAATGTCCTCCATTATTGGTTATGCACATTATTGTTCTTAAAACAATGTGTCGTGTTGAGCAGCAGGCCATATCCGTGTCAGCTCTAATTTCGTTCGCAGCGGTATGGATCCTTTCCATGAGCTCTTCCCGTGTCGTCGACTCACGACAGTAGACTTTTTGCTTCATCGTGTCCCAGCAAAAATAATCTAGGGGCGTTAAATCGGGTGATCGGCGTCAGTGCCTCCACGTCCTATCCATGGAGAATGTTGCCTATCCAAATGTTCTAGCCCAAAAGCGTGTGGGAGCTCCAACCATATGTTGCAGCGGTTGATAAGTGGCGTAGATCTGAAAACTCGGTACTCAAGAAGTCCAAAAATCCCTGGCCATCTAACCTTGGAGGTAGCTCAA